GTATATGATGAAACTTTAACTTCCTGGTGGCTACTACAGAGACTGTCTACAAGAGAAAGGCCAGGGGCCACCCACCCCAGGAACCGCCGCTTCTTGCTTTCCCATGAGCTTTCTAGACTGTTGCCCACAACCAATCCAAAGAGCAAACACATCTTCCTTCTGGATTGTGCCCCTATCTTAGAATTGCCCTCACTTCACCTTATTCTGCCCACCTTATTGGTAGCCAATGTCAATTCTTTCAAAACAACTTTCATCCTTCTTCCCCCAAACTTGACCTGTGATAGAGCGCCATCAACTCCAGGATGGCGGCCATGCTGCCCTCTCCACCTAACCATGCTGCTGGGGGGTTAGATTCACACCCCTGAACCTGCTCCTTTAGGGTCCAATGAATCCTGCCTTTTATTTATTTTCTCAGTATCCCCAGGCTATATCAACTCCCATCCATCAGGGACCCCAGAGCTAACCATCATACATTAAATATGAGAGAAAGAACTCTTCATATTCATAAAGGAGCCTGTAATATAAATGTTTGTGTTTTACCAATTAAAATCTTACATAGTAATTCCTAGGTGAACCGTATTTCAAGGCTGCATCTTGCAGCATTTGTTTCTACAGCCACCGGTCTTCTGGCGCTTAGAGTCTGAACTACAGAATTAACCATGAATATGACTGTAGAGATTATGTTCTGGTCCTTGTTTCTCCAAGTCTGCAATAAACCCTGTCTTTTAAAAAGGCTTTCAGCTGTGGACATTAAGTATTTCTGTCTTATAATTTTGATCTCTTATCTTCCTCTCAAAAGTCAACATCATCGTGGGGGGAGCTGGATTTTGGATCTAGGTCCATTTTGGCTTCTAGCCATGCTTGTCTTACACTACACTGCCTTCTACAAGAAGGTTTTATTGTTGGGAAACACTGAGCAAACAATGTCTTTACATACACTATTGGCCCTCTATTACTAAAGTAAGCACTCCAAGATTTTATTCTGATGGAGGTAAGAGATTCAGGCTGATCCAGCACAAATTCTGAATTGATTTCTCTTATGCAAATATTTGATAATTATAAAGGGAAAACCAGGCTTTATCAGCCGAATATGATTACAGTATTGACCAATCCTCCATGCTGATGATATTAGCAGTTCTGCCCATCTCATGAAGCATTAAATGGTCATTTTAAATGACCCACAAAATAAACAGCCAAGTGTTTGTTTTTCAGAGCTTCCATGTTCCCAGAACAACACAACAAGAATGTTCTGGATGTTCGAGAACTTTTTTTTTTCCAAGTTACAAAACAACACATTGAAGCAAGTCTGAAATCTGTCTCAAATGGTAACAAGACCAATCTAAACTCTGCAGCTTAATAAGGAGAAGTATGCAGTAACAGCTTAGCCCTTCAATCAAGAGCCGCAGATGTGCCTTGATTAAAGACTCTCCCTATCGCCTCCTATGTAAAAACACAAAAGTCCACCTGTTAAATTCAGCATACCCTTTAGTAGGAAACGACTTGGCTTTCAGCTGCACACATCCTTTTCCTAATGGGGGTATGAGAAGAGAGGACCAAAGGAAAAAGACCCACTAATGATGGCAACCTAGCTCTTCTCATTCCCTAGGCCCGTGGTCGGCAAACTGTGGCTCGCGAGCCACATGCGGCTCTTTGGCCCCTTGAGTGTGGCTCTTCCTAAGCCTTAGGAGTACCCTAATTAAGTTAATAACAATGTACCTACCTATATAGTTTAAGTTTAAAAAACTTGGCTCTCAGAAGAAATTTCAATCATTGTACTGTTGATATTTGGCTCTGTTGACTAATGAGTTTGCCGACCACTGCTCTAGGCCGTAGTAACAATGTGAGGAACCTGGAGCACCAGGGGTCACGTCTGAGAGTACTTAAGTAATAATAAGGAGAAAATAATTTATGTGATACAGTGATGTCAACAAATCAGCGTTTCAAAACAACTCGTTATCAACATAACCCTGACATCTTACAATTAAAAAAAAAATCACTGAAGTTTTACTTTGATTAAAATATATCTTAACAGCATTTAAATCTTATTTCTTACCTATTACAGCATTTTGGGGGTGTGGAGTTATATATGTTGGGGGAACAAGATGAAAGAGGAAAGGAAACCAGCAACTAGAAGGGTCTCTGGGAAGTGCCAAAGAAACCTGATCAAGCAACTGTCTTTTTTTTTGTCTTTATTGTTGAAAGTATTACCGATGCTCCTTTTTATTCCCCTATTGACCCCCTTCACCCCGGACCCACCCCTCCCAAGCCCAACTGTCTCCTAAGTGACTTCACACTTTACAAAATGTCTTCACATTTCTCATGCACTTCGCTTCTCACGTCTGCTTTGTGTGGTAGCTGTTATTGCCATTTTCTAGTTAAGGAAGATGACTCAGGTAGGTCATCTTCCTTAACAAGACAGTCAAACCGGTCAGCGGTCACAGAGTTTCCGGACCCTTTGAATCTCCTGCTGAGGTAGCCTGGAAAATGTCATTTGGTGAGCCATCCTCTTCAGGGCTCAATCTTTGAGGTCTTTTTCTAGTTAAAGACTTTGTTCATCTAGCACAAGTTCAGTTGTGTTCTCAAAATCTAGAGTTTTCTCTTACAGCCTCAGAAGGGTCTGAGGCCTGCTGACACCCTGATATCAGCCCGGTAGGACTCTGACCTCCAGAACTGTGAGAGAGTCTGTGTTGTTTTACACCACTAAACTTGTGGCTATTTGTTACACCAGCAATAGGAAACCCATACAGATTTTGGTACCTGGAATACCTTAAAATGTAGAAGTGGCTTGGGAATTCGGCAATGAGCAGATGCTGGGAGAATTCTGAGGAGGACAATAGGAAAAACCTAGATTGCCTTGAACAGATGGTAAGTACAAATATGAATGTTAACAACTGAGGACTCGGAAGTGATGAGTATGTAAAGAACAGATATATCATCTTAAAGAATACCTACCTTGTCATAAATAAACTGTAAGTAGAAATATTAACATTAAAGGCACTTCTGATAAGGGCCCAGATGAAATGAGGAGCATGTTATTGGAAACTGGAAAAAAAAAAAAATCCCTGTCATATAATTGCAGAAAGCTTAGCTGCGTTGTGCCCTGAAGTTAGGTGGAAAGCAACGTTTGTAAACAGTGTGAACTTGGATATTCAGTGTCATTGTTTGGGACCTTCGTGACTTTCGTGGCTGTTGGGATGGGGTGAATATATTTTGCATGTAAGATGGACATAACAAATCTTTGGAGGTTGGTGGACGTACTGTAGTAGGAAGACTATCCCTTAAAGATGCCTAAGTCTTAATCCTCAAACCTATGAATATGTTACCTTATGTAGCAAAAAGAACTTTGCAGATATGACTATATTAAGGACCTGGAGATGGGAAAGATTATCCTAGATTATATGGATTGGTTCAATGTAATCACACAGGTCCTTATAAGAAAGAAGCAGGAGTGTCAGCATATGAAAAAGAGATTTAAATTCTGGTGGCCTCTAGAAACTGGAAAAGGCAAAACCCACCAAAAGGAATGTAGCCCTATCAAGATAACCAGAAATGTATCTGCACACTACAACAAAACCCAACACTTTTCAGGGAAGGATAGTGAAGTACACAATCTAGAAAGACAGTGCTTATAACCAATAGAATGGCCACATTAAGTATGAGTGAGGATGTGCAACAACTGGAACTCACATATAGCACTGATGGAAATGTAAAGAATAGTACAATTACTTTATTTCCCCAAAACTATTGAGAAGTAACCTAGATCACACACACATATATACTGGTACATATACTAGAGGCCTGGTGCATGAATTCGTGTACTGGGGGGGGGGGGGGGTTTCCTTAGCCAGGCCTGCGTCCTCTTGCGGTCCGGGAGCCCTCAGGGGATGTCTGACTGACAGCTTAGGCCTGCTCCCCACTGGCCGTCAGACAGACATCCTTAGCGCTACTTGCCAGCTGTGAGCCCAGCTTTTGACTGAGCGGGACTCCCCCTGTGGGAGTGCACTGACCACCAGGGGGCAGCTCCTGAATTGACTGTCTGCCCCCTGGTAGTCAGTGTGCATCATAGTGACAGGTTGTTCTGCTGTTTGGTTGATTTGCATATTCACCTTTTATTATATAGGATATATAGTTGTGCATGTATAGGTACATATAAGTGTGCGTATCTATACTTACACACATACACACACATAATGTGTGTGAATGTGGGTGTGTATGATATCTAATCACAGAGTAGTTATTACTATCCTGTAAAACATACCTGCTTGTTTTTCAAAAGCTATGAAGAACCTGGTAGAAAAGGAAAATAACCTGATAAAAAGGGAAAGTAGAGTGATTTCAAAATGAATGCCTTTATTTTGAACTTCTGATCTACTTCCACATATCAGATCACATAAAGCGACACACTTCTGGGGTTTGTTTTGTTCTAATAAAAATAATAGAGCAAATGCATAAAACTTACACTGTAAACTCATTTAGTACTCACAAAAATCCCAGGAGGAACTATTTTTTCCCCCCAGGCGAGGTACAGTGAGGTAAATTGAGGCACAGAGAGGCACACAGAGTTATTCTTCATACCACGCACTTTCCTAAAACATGCCACTCTGCACGGAATAAAATTTCCCTCCCTAAATGCTCTATGAATTCTAGGCCCTAAAGCTTCAACAGGCTGCGACAAGGCACCAGAATGTTTCTGGGAGCCATGCGTGACGCATAACGTGCAACACAGCCCAGCGCTTACTACAACCTGCACCAACTGCAAATCCAAGTCGGTCCCGACGCTTTTACACGGACGCGTACGTGTAGGAAAGAGTCCTAAAAAGCCTTTGCCATTCCCCAGGATCCCCAAAGACGTCGGCGCCCCCTGTAAGTGCTGACTATCTGCTCCCTAGATCGTGGAGGGGACGGTCTGGGCCACCGGAGTGGCGCGCAGCCCCCGGGGCCCAGGGCGCATGCGTGGCCCGGGCCGCGGGGCCGCGCGGGGAGGTCGCGGGGCCGCCTACCTGGTGCGCCGGCCGCGCAGGCACAGGACCAGGAGCAGCAGGGCCGCGGCCAGGGCCAGGCCCGCGGGGCTGAGGAGCGGCTGCAGCCAGGGCTCCAGCGGGAAGCGGCCCATGCCGGCCGTCACGTCCTCCGCCGTCCGGTGCGCGCGGCCGCGCTGGGTGAGCTGCTCCGTCTCTCCGAGCGGCGCGGCGCGGCGGCGGCTCTGCAGCCCGCGTGGTTTCTGGGCTGCGCGCCCTCGCTCCGGCCCGAGCGGCTGTCCGCCCTCGGCGCTGCCCGGAATGTCACGGCGGGGCCCCCGGAGCCTGGGTCCTAAAGTTCCCGACTCCCCTCCCCCGGCGCAACCCCCACCCACGCGCGCCGCCCTGCTCCCAGCCCGGCTCCTGGAAAACGGGGCGGGAAGAGGAGCCAGCGAGGGGGAAGGGGTAGGGATTTCCCGTGAGCCAGCCTTGTAAGGCCCGGAGGGGGAGGGGGGAGAGGGGAGGGGGGTGCGGGAGGGTTCCGAGTTGGGAGTGAGTGTGGCGTGGGTTCCCAGTCCCATAGCCCGCACCCCTCGGGAGGGACCCTACGTGCCCCTGAAGAGGGTGGGACTGCGCCCGCGGCGCTCTGGCACCACTTAGGGTGACCCCGGAGCCCGGCAGGCAGAGACCTGCAGAGTGCGCGGCCCGCGCCTGCCTGGTCACCCTGCACATCCTATTTGTTTACCTTGAGAGCCTACTGTGTGCTCGGAGACCGGGAATATGGGGACCAGGAATAAGACATAGAAGCCCCGAGGATGCACACAGTCCAGGAAGAAAGAAGACAGAAGCGACCAGCTTACTGCAGAACAATCCTAAGGGCCAGAACAGAAGTGGTGCAAACCCCACAGGTTGTACTCAGAAAGAATAAGGGAGACGCTTTTAAAATAAGGGAGAAACTTTCCCTGCCGTTTCACACATGTTTATTCACTCTCCACTCCACACTGGTGATGAAATTTTTAGCGTCGTTTTAGAGAACATATAACGAGACTTAGGTTAAGTGACTTACCCCGGTGAGTTGATAAATAAAAAAGAATAATAGCCATTCTAACCAAGGCTATTCCAGACAGCCATGTGTTTTGTTTTGTTTTTCCTTTGTGCAACATTTTATTTCAAGGGTTCTCTAAACTATTACCACTTCAGAAATGTCCTCCATACCTTTGACCTTTCCAGCCCTCCTCTCCCTTGCCACCTTCCTATAACACAGACCTATTCTGTTTTGACCGTTCAAAATGCTCAATGGCTGCCTTTGTGATAAAGTCATAAATCTTCACCCTGCAATGAGAAGCACTCCACAATTTCTCTTTATGGTACAACTCCCATGGCTAGTACAGTTCCATATACACTAAAGCCTGAGCCAATATGTCCCTCACAATCAGCCCTTTGACGACTTACTATATTCATCCTGCCTGGAAATTTTTCCTCTCTTCTCTGAATACTAAAATTCTAGCTACCTCTCAAGGCCCAGCTCAAATCCCCTTTCCTTCTAGAAATGACCCCTAACTCTACTTTGGTAATTGATCTCTTTCTCCTCCATACTTTTAACACTGTCTCTACTTTTCACCCCATCAAATTGTCCCACTATATCTGAGTTTACTTCAGTCTGTCTTTCCTGCTATAGCAGGTGGGAACCCTCTCTTAGACAACCATGTCTGCACCCACTCTCTTTCCCCAACTCCCTCATCCCATATCCTCAAAGAACATAGTTGGAAGGACTTTGCCTCTGCCTGGCTCTTAGTCTGTGCTCCAGAACGGAATTACTGCTGTGTTGCTGTCCTTGGCCTTAAAGCTGTGAAGAGCTGAGCCAGCACTGGAACCCGAATGTTTATAAGTATCTTCATCTCTGACTTAGTCCAGGGTCCTTCTACAGCCTCTCCTTCCTCCTGCTGTAGATTCAGTTTTCCAGGAAATATGATAAAGTGCAGTGAGCAAATTGGTTCCCATCACTGCTTGGCCAGCAGAGCTCATTTGCAGGATGTTGTGCATGCTGTGCATTTCTGTAACCGCGGCAGCAAGCCCCTCTTGCTGATTTTCACAAGAAGCCTCAACTTCCATAATTTTATTTTCCATTTGATCACTTGTTTGAAAATACAGGTAAAAATATCAAGCATTGATCAATTTTTGGAACATTTACTAAGTACTAAACATTTTGTTTATTAAGCAACTAGAGACCTGGTGCACAAAAATTTGTGCACTCAGAGGGGTCCCTCAACCTGGCCTGTGCCTTCTCGCAGTCTGGGACCCCTCAGGGGATCTCCACCTGCTGGCTTAGACGGAGTGCCCGGGGGGATCGGGCCTAAGTTGGCAGTCAGACATCCTCTGGCAGCCCAGGAGCCCTCGGGGGATGTCCACTTGCCAGCGGGGAGCAAGCCTAAACTGCAGTCAGAAATCCTTAGTGCTGCTGAGGAGGCGGGAGAGGCTCCCACCACAACCACTCTGCTGGCAGCCATCAGCCTGGCTTGTGGCTGAGCAGAGCTCCCCCTGTGGGAGTGCACTGACCACCAGGGGGCATCTCCTGCATTGAGTGTCTGCCCCCTGGTGGTCAGTGTGTGTCATAGTGACCCTAGTGTTAGGGTCAATTTGCATATTACCCTTTTATTATATAGGATAACAGCAAACCCCTGCAGTTAAATACACTGTCCCCTGGAAGTGGAACGAAGAAGATTTGGTTAACAACTGTGTCGCGTATCCCTATGGTATCTGCATAGTACCTTACTTAGAAGATTATAGTATACACTTAATACTTTCTGAATATGTTTTTCATTTCTGTTCAAAGGAGCCTTCATTCTGTAAACTGACCTGGTTGAAATAAAATCTGAAGACATCTTTTGTTCCTCTTTTGCATCATTATATTCAATCCAGTTCAATTCATTTTACCTCATATGCATGCCTTGATCCACATCACTTCTCTGACGGAGATGACTCATTGACCCTCCATATCTACTTTCTCCTCAGGAATAGCTCTCAATTTTTAGCTAAAAATGCAGCTGTCCATTATAAACACAGATTTCCCAGCCTTCCTTGTAGTTAGATGTGACCATGTGACTGAATTCTAACCAGTAGGCCAAGTGTAAGTTATTACTCCAGGAAAGTACCCTTAACAGGAATGGACAGGCCCTTTGCCACCTTTCCTTTTTCCTGCTGCTTAGATTGTGGACTATATGCCTGGAACTCAAGTGGCCCTATTAGTACATATAAGTATGTCCCAAATACTGCATTTAGTATTATTTTTGTTTACATGAAAGTCAAAATTAACTGGGGATTCTTTCATTTTATTTGCTAACTCTGGCAACTCTAGTAGCTTAATTCCAACACAAGGGTTCATAAGGCATACAGAGCAACTACACAATTCTAACTGCCCAACTGTCCACTTCAGAAACCAGCCACAAATTGTTCCTTCAACATCACGCTCCAGTGTTACTGTCTTGTGTACCTAACTAGACCAGGGCCAACGGCCAGACCCAAGAAAGTCATGGGGTAGCCCTTAGACTCCGAGGTATCCAAATGTGGACATGGATCAGTACAGATAGCAACTGGCCTTACTTCAGACAATACTGACTTTGAGACATATGGAGATAGAGAAACACAAGAAAAAACAGAATTGAAAGCTAAGGGAATAAAGGTAGAGGATGATACACCAGAGTCTCTACAATGTGAGCTGTGAAATCCAGATGATGGGTCATACTTCACCAGCTCAGGTGACCCTCATCTACCAGCTGGTCGGAGCGGTCAGCCTCTGTCTCTGTTCTCGGCCTGATCAATGATTAGAGCTTGGATTATGGCCCTGCAGTGCCCTCTAGTATTTGCTCTTTTGTTGCTTTCTTCTTACGGCCTTCCTCAGCATCAACAATGTCTTTGACAAACATTAGGGAGAGAAAAGAAGACAGGTCTTTAAAAGAAAATTGTCCTCTCAACAGCTCTCTCACTCTCAAGAAATACCTTCTTCTTGGCACTCCTATGGCTGTGCACTCCCAATTGTACTCTTAATTCTCTAATTGTTTCTTAGTCCCCTTGGCCAGTTCTTCCTCAGCTTGATCGGTGAATGTCAAAGGGTTTGATCCTAGGTGTTTGACCCCAGGCATATTTTAATTATTGACATTTGATTTAAAAACTGTAATGTTCTTTTCAACTTATTGATTCAATACAATGTAAATACTATAGTGACTTAATGCCCACAATCATCAATTTTTTAAAAACCCATGAATAAACTCTTCTCTAAACTTTACATTTTATATTTTCTCCTTGAACTCATATTTCCATTTCATTTCTCTCACAGACTTTTATTCTAACATATATTTTTATGCTTGAAGATATTTTATTGATAACATTTTATCTTTCTGCTATAAAAATATGTATATAAATTGAAATTTATTTTTTATATTCTTTATGACCAGATGACCTAAGTGTTATTTTTTCCTTCATCTGGACTAAGTTATCATTTCTGTTATTATTGGCACATTATTGATCAAAAAACTTAAATATATCACAGAAATTGATAAAAAGTAAAGTTTACTTAGAAATGCACATTTAAATATGTATATGAATGGCTATGCATATGTAACTCTCTTCTCTGACAATGAGAAACTTGGATCCCATCACCCTCAATATATTTACTTATTTCAGTGGTTCTCAACGTTGGCTGCACATTAGAATCACCTGGGAATATTTTTTAAAATCCTGATTTCTGGGCCTCATCCTCCGGAAATTCTGTTCCTTTGTTACTAATATTGTGGCCTCACCCCATAACAAAGAAACAGAATTTCCGGAGGATGAGGCCCAGAAATCAGGATTTTAAAAAGATTCCCAGGTGATTCTAATGTGCAGCCAACGTTGAGAACCACTGACTTATTTGATCCATCCCCTCCCTTCCCTTCACCACCACCAGCATTGCCCCATTCCCACAACCTCCTCTCACCTATTAGCTCTGACACCTGACACATGGCCATCATGCAGATGCCTCCTTCACCCACAACTCGGCTTGCATTTCTACTTCCCCTCTTTGTGTTATTTTGCTGTGCCTCAGCTACTGACTTTTGGACTAAATTATTCTGAAAGGAAATGAGATAGGGAGGGGAAAGAAGCATGTGTTTTTACAAATCTTAACTCTTTAATTCTGGGATGGAAAGATAGATTAGATGATAGATAGATAGATAGATAGATAGATAGATAGATAGATAGATAGATAGATAGATGATAGATAGATATAGGTAGATGATAGATAGATAGGAAGGACAAGTCTATGAGTTTCTCACCTAGATGAAATAACCCACAATGCCCTCTAGTTTTTGCTCTGACAATTTCCTTGACATAAATTAGGGAGGGAAAATAAGATATGTCTTTAAAAGAAAATTGTCACTATTTTAATCTAACTCTACAAATATATCTGATTTCAAAA